CAATGAACAGGGTAGGAAAATCTGATTCAACATTAAGCCAAGGTCCAGCATTAAACCAAGGGCTAAATCAGAAATTCATGGTTTTTTAAATTATTTTTTTACTGTTTTCCATCAAGAATATTAAAGATTTAAAACTTTATGTCATATTTTTGACACTTAGAGAAGCCTTCTTTAATATCATTTTGTAGAAGGCATTAATTAAGTGTATTAAGTATGGAAGAGCCAATATTTTTATTTATCTTTATACTCAGGATTTGCATCTTGTTTCTGCAATATAGTTTACATTTGGCTACAATAAAGAGATGCATTAAGGTCATCTTACCTATATAATTATGGAGGAAGTAATATTAGCATTTAACAATATTTGCATTTCAATGAGTATGATTACATTTCTAGTTTAACATTGCTATTGTTGGTGAAAAATACTGAAAATACCATGGATTGCCAGAAGAACAAACAAATCTGTCCTGGAGTAAGTGCAGCTGGAATGTTCCTTGGAAGCGAGAAAGGCCAGACTTCATCTCAACTACTTTGGTCATGTTGTCAGACGGGACCATTTCCTGGAGATGGATATCATGCTCAGTAAAGTGGAGGGTCAGTGAAAAAATGGGAAGACCCTCAACAAAATGGATTGGCACAGTGGCTGCAACAATGGGCTCAGGTATAGCAAGTATTGTGAGGATGGCACATGACTGAACAGTGTTTTGTTTTGTACATACGGTGACTCAATGGCACCTAACAGCAAACAACAATGAAGTTGAATAAAAAATGCATTTGTTTCTACGTTAGTGTCCTACACCTGGGTCTGTGACCTCTAAAAGGTAAGCTGAATTAGTCTTTCATTCAAAACAATAAATTTATCCCTAGTTGTACACAGAATAGTATGGAAAATAAACTGTATTCTGGAGAAATCAGCAGAAATTCATAGGCCCTTAAGCCTACTGGAGCGAACCAATTTCTGCTGCTTTAGGCTTGAATAATTTTATTGAACTTCACAATAAATTTGAATTCCTCCAAAATTCAAAAATTTGGGAAGAGATAATCCATTCTTATTCCAATATTAGGAATGAATGAAGGAATATTCAATCATTCCAACTGTATCTAAGGTATTAGAATACTACGAAGGTCTCTATATTTGCTGTGTTCCCTCTGAAAGATACAAAGATGAGAGATGATTACAGGTGAATCATGGTTCTATTTTATCTGGAGACCTGAGGGCTCTTACTGCTCTATTCCCTTAGGGGGTCATGTTCCTCTGCTTAAAAGAATATTGCCTGCTCTCTGAGCTAATGATTTGTTTGGAGGATACAAGTCTCAGAGGTGAAGATAACTGTACAGCTTTTATAATGTATCTTTCAGATGTCTGATCTGCTTTTTTCTGAATACATGGGACCCCTCAATAGCAAGATTAAAGATGCCTCTCCATGAAGAAAGGCAAAATTTTGAAAACTTAAAAGCTGCTCAGATTTCCAAATAATATTTTTGTACTTCTTCATTTTGTCAACATCGCATTTGGTGAGTGTTGTTCTTCATTCATGTGATAATTGGATGGTAATCAAAATACAGTGTTGGATCATAGGCTCCTTCATATTTTTCAAGGAGACAGGGAAAAGCATGAATTTTGTTTTAAAAAGTGGTTAGTACAAACTAGTTTATGACTTAGTCATGCATGCTCATTTTGAATTCTGTTTAACTCTGCAAATATATACTTGATACCTAGTAGATGTCAGACATCTTTTGTTGAGAATTATGTACATATATAAACCCAGTGCTGCTGAATGGATTCTGACTCATAATGACCTCCATTGAGTTTCCAAGGCGGTGAATCTTCATGGAAACAGATTGACCCATCTTCCTTCTGTGGAATGGCTGGTGGGTTTGAACCCACACCCTTTTGGTTATCAGTCAAATAAATGTCTTAGGCACTGTGCCACCAGAGCTCCTTGTGTGTGTGTGTGTGTGTGTGTGTAATATATTTATTTATTTATTTTTAACAAAATCATTCTTGTTTTATAATTAGAGGATGTTGTGGTATGCTGTTGAGTTGACTCTTGACTCATAGCAAAACTATGTGAGAGAGTAGAACAGTCCCATAGGGTTTCCAAGGCTGTAATCTTTATGGAAGCAGACTGCTGATGGTTTTGAACCACCAACTTTTCTATTAGCAACTGAGCACTTAACCACCTCACCACTAGGGCTCTTTTAACTAGAGGATAGAGGGACCCAGTGGTTGAAATGGTAGGTGGTATTCCATTGGCCTAAAAAAGTCAATACAATTCCTTTGTGTCTAATTTTCTATTAGGTAACGCTTCATTCTATGGAGCAAATGAAATACCACATTGTTGTTTTATCTCTATGGCTTAAAAACAAAAGAGTTCAAATCAAATAGGAGATGCTTCCTCACATTACAAAAGTTTTGCATTATGATTTCATTTAAATTATCACAAAATATTTAAATTTTGTGCTTTAAAAAGTTTGATTTACAAACAATTTTCAAACAAATGCAACTCAAAGGAGAGTCATAGGCAATATTGATTATTTAAAAAATATCCTATTCCTGAACTTCTTAACTAGGAACAATAGCCCAGCCAAGTTGACATACAAAACTGATCTTCACATTTCCTTGAGTTATTTGTTCAAAAAGAGTATCTTATTGTCTTTTAGGTGAAAATTTACACAGCAAGTTAGGTTCTCATTGAATAAGTTTTTACAAATCGTTCTGTGCAACTGATTATTATTATTTTTCAAACAAACTGTCAGCACTTTCATCATTTCCATTATGTTTGTTCTTTCCCATTAATCTAGCTTCTGTGCCCCTTGTTACCTTCTCAGCATTGCTTTAGGATAAATGTTGACCATTTGGTTTCATGTAGTTTATTATGTGAAGAAGCACAGTACTCATAGGTAATATTGTTTATTTTACAAGCTAATCTATTACTTGGACGAAAGGTGACCTTGGGGTGGCTTCAGTTTCAAGTTTAAAGGTGACAGTCTTGGGGATATATCTAGTCTATTGGTCCAGTAAGTCTGGCCATTTTTAGGAATTTGACTTTTGTTCTATATTTTTCTACTATTCTATCTGGGATCTTTTATTGTGTCCCTAATCAGAGCAATTGGTAGTGGTAGGTGGGAACCATCTAGCCCTGATCTCAGGCTAGAGGCTACGGTTTGAGTGGGCTATTAGTCCTGTGGACTAGTTTTTTTGAGTCTTTAATTTCCTTCATTCTGTTTTGTACTTGATGAGTAGAGACCAATTGTCGTATCTTAGATGGCTGCCTGCAAGCTTTTAAGACCTCAGACGCTACTCACCAAACTAGGATATGTTGTTGTTGTTGTTGTTATGTACCATCTAGTTGGACCCAACTCATAGTGACCCCTCCTTGGGTTTCCGAGGCAGTATCACTACAGAAGTAGATTGCCCCATCTTCCTTCCGAGGAGTGGCTGGTGGGTTTGAACCACCAGCCTTCTTGTTAGCAGTCAAGTGCCTTAGGCACTATGCTACCAGAGCTCCCAAACTAGGATATAGAACATCATATTTATGATCTATGTTATGCAAACTGAAGAGTTGTCCTACGAGACAAAGGTCTTAAATCCTTCAATCTAGTAACCCAATCCTGAGAAGCATTTAGATATGTCCAGGAAGTCTCTGTCACTATGCTTTTATATATATATAAACATAAATGCATCACACATAAACATATATATGCATACACCTACAGATACACCTAAACCTACATGTGTATGTGTGTATCCACATATCCTAAACACATATATACATATATATTTACCTATGTAACCACAAGGAGCTCTGGTAGCTTAGTGCCTAAGGCACTTGACTGCTAACCAGAAGGCTGGTGGTTCAAACCCACCAGCCACTCCTCGGAAGGAAGGTTGGGCAATCTACTTCCATAGTGATACCACCTCAGAAACCTAAGGAGGGGTTGTTATGAGTCTGGTCCAACTTGACAACACATAACAACAACAACATGTAAGCACAGACATATTATTTGGTTATTATGACTACTGTCAGAAAATTATATGTTATTACATTTACTGAACTTGTCCTTTACTCTTGCATACTTCTTATTGTGCTCGTTTACCTTAGTTTTAGCCAAGTTCACCTATATTGGATATGACCTTTCCCATCACCAAAGATAACAAGTGGCTACTATCTAGTAAGTGATACCTCAGCCTTTCCCCCAGTAACCTTCAAAGAACATTGCTTTCTTTGTGTATTTCTATTCTTGACTTTTTATAAAAGTGAAACCATACAATATATCCTTTTTTGTGACTGATTTATTTAACTAAGCATAATGTCCTCCGTATTCATCCATGTTCTAAGATGCTTCATGGGCTCATCGTTATTCTTTATATTTACATAGTATTCCATTAAATATATATATCACAATTTGTTTATCCATTCATCTGTTGAAGGGCACTTAAGTTGTGCCCAACTTTTTGCTAATGTGAATAAGCCTGCAATAAATATACGTATACATATGTCTATTCATGTCACTGCTCTTCTTTCCCTAAGCTACATACCTAGGAATGAGATTGTTGGATCATAACGTATTTCTATTTTTACCTTTTTGATAAAATGTAAAACCATTTTCCATAGTGGTTTTATCATTTTACAATCCTACCAGAATTGTATAAAATTCACATCTCCCCACAACCTTGCCAGAATTTGTTATTTTTCTGTGTATTTGGTCCATGCCATTTTTGCAGGGATAAGATGGTATTTCATTGTAGATGTGATTTGTATATTTCTGATGGCTAATGATCATGAGCATGTTTTCATGTGTTTTGTTTTCTCCCCTTTAGTTATTAATTGACTATTTTGACTCTGATTCTTCACAAGGAAACATATTCAGAAAAAAGTGGAGTTGAGAAAAATTGTTATCAAACATTTTCTAAATTAACATTGAAACTCAAACTAAGCAAAAATAATTACAAAATCAACACAATGAGAAAGTAAGTGTATAATATAATCTAGCATCTACCAACACTTGCTTTCGTCAGTAAGGTATGATGCTGAACAATTAAAAAAGCATAAACTTATTTCATATTTCTTACATTTGATCAGTATGCATTGTTGGCTATTTAGGATAATTTTGAAAAACAAAAAAACAGTATGAGATTATGATTTAGCAAATTGAACAAATCATTGCCACTATTTTATTCTTTCCTTAAAGATCAAAGATAGAATATAGCCCAAAAAGTACACTCAATCTTCATGTACAAAACCAAAATCAAACTCACTGCCATCAAGTCAGATCTGACTCTTTGGGTGTCAGATGTGGTATCACTATGGAAGCATATTGCCCAATCTTCCTTCTGAAGTGTGGCTGGTGGATTTGAACCACCAGCCTTTTGGTTAGCAGTCAAATGCCTTAGGCACTACCCCACCAGAGCTCCCAGTCTTCATGTAATAATAAATAAAATTAAAGTTACCAATAAAGTTAAAATCACCATTGGTTGAATAAATCTTTACAAGGAAAATGACTTAACACTAAATGATATGAAAACAAAAGTGTGTCAAAACCAGTGACTTACCAATAATTGGGTCAAGGGCAATGTTACTTCTACTCTCCTTCCACGACAGCAGGTTGTCAAGGCTGGTGATATCTGCAGTTTCTATGTAATTGTTAATTGTCAGCATCATCTGGTGAGCTTTTGCTATCCCATAATGAACTTTTATTTCGTCCACCAGAGGCACGCTCATAAGCTCTCCTGTTGTGTCAAAAGCTTGCTCAAAGTATTCAGAGGCCTTGCTATAGTATCCCTAAAAATGTAACAGAAATAATTATGTTTTTCTCAACGTTTATTTTGCCATTTCACATTATTTGCCCACTCCTCCCTGGTATATCCCACACTGAGCTTTCAACAGTCACCACAGTTCATCTTCAAGAGGAAAATGAAAGCAGACAGGCTTTCTATTAGAAAAAAGTTCTTTAAATGAGTTGTGACTACTTACTATGGAATACCTTGCAGCTAATTTAGTAAGAAAGTGTATTTAATAGGGGGAACTATATGAAACTGAAGTTATTTTTAGTTAAAAAACGGTCAAATATTGGCAGTTTCAAATAATTCAACCTAATACATGATATAGTGAAATGACATTTGGCAAAGACCAAACCAATTTACTTTGATTTGGAGGGAATCTTCTTACTCATAGCATTGAATTTACCTAATGAAATATTTTTAACCAGATTTGATTTTTAGTAATGAAAATGACAAAAGGCCATTTTTAGCGAACTACTTTAATCAGTGCTCAGTGAGAAGAAATGAGTTTATGTGCTGGTGAAGCTACTGCCCTTGCTTCCCCATGTGCCCATGCCATTTTTGACTCATAACACTTAGGTATTGATGCGTTCTTTAAAAATATGAGCTTGATAGCACTGGGACAAATCAAAGGATGATTTAAAGTCTATCCCGTCCCTAAGGAGACTTAGTGGCAGTGGTTAAATGCTTGGCTGTTTACCAAAAAGGTTGGTGGTTTGAACCCACCAGAAAATCTGCAGGATAAAGATGTAGCAGTCTGTTTCTGTAAAGATTACAGCATTGGATACCTTATGGGGCAGTTCTAGTCTGTCCTATAGGGTCGCTATGAGTCAGAAGTGACTTGATGAAAATGTTTCTTTTAATCTCATCTCTAAATCACCTCTCTAATGCTTTGTTCACAAATAAATAGTGGTGTTTACATAGCTCTTATTGTGTCAGGGCCAGTGCTAAGTGTGTGTATGCGTATGTTGTTGTTGTTGTTATGTGCTGTCGAGTCAGACCCGACTCATAGCGACTCCTCCTTGGGTTTCTGAGGCAGTATCACTATGGAAGTAGATTGCCCCATCTTCCGTCTGAGGAGTGGCTGGTGGGTTTGAACCGCAAGCCTTCTGGTTAGCAGTCAAGTGCCTTAGGCCCTATGCTACCAGAGCTCCGGTGTGTGTGTGTGTGTATTTTATAAATTTTATAAATATTAGAGGCCCTGCTACCCCAAATCTTCTAAAAATCCTGATTAAAAACTCTTCCTTCAAGGAGGATATTTTCTAGGATTGCACTATACTTGTAAAGGCTCTAGGGAACAAAATTTCCTTTCGCCACTGACTGCTCTTTGGGCTCAAGCTGACTGAAATTAAGAAACTGCTAGCAAGGTGAGGAAGGGTAGAGAGAGGGTTTATGTGACAGTTATGTTACATACATGAGTAGCACAAGTAACATTCTATGTACATAGTATGCCTGCAGGGATAGTTTATTCAAATAGTTGATTCTAGACAATTAAATATGCTAATTCAGGCACTAATACCAAACCAAACCCACCACCATTGAGTCAGTTCTGACTCATAGTGACACTATAGGATAGAGTAGAAGGGCCCCATAGGGTCTAAGGCTGTAAATCTTTATGGAAGCAGACTACCCCAATTTTCTCCCACAAAGCAGCTGGCAGGTTTCAAGTGGCTGGTGATTTCAGAGTGGCTAGTGGGTTTGAACCACCAGCCTTCTGGTTAACAGCCAAATGTGTTAACCACTAAGCCATTAGGGCTCCTAATTTAGCGACAGCTCTTCAGCATTGTATCAGTAATATTTTTGTTTGTTGAGGGAACATTTATTTCCATTATTTCAAGATAGAAAACATAGAATTTAATATAAGATTACTCAATTAGAAAAAATAAAACTATCAAAGATATTATGCCAATTAAGGAAAGTATATGAGAAACAATAGAAATACTGAAAACAATAAAAACGAAACTAGTTAGAATTATAGATTGGTTAAATTACTAGTTAGACTTATCCTGTTAGATATTGAAGATACGGCAAAATATCTTCATATGAAGATATGGGAATATATGATTAGACAAAAATTTGCTATTTTTAGAAACAGAGAAGTGTAACTATCTAATTAATTATTGTTTTATTTACACTTCTGAGCTTCAGGGTCTTTATTATTTTAGGTAAGAGTCTTAATTAGAAAAATTAGAGGTCATAAGTAAATGGACATATATTTTAGTTTTGAGAAATCTATTTTAAAAAATGTTAGAATTAACTCATTCATTTATCCTCAGTAATTCATTGACTAACTGTTATGTGTCAGGCATTATGCCAGGCAGTCACAGAATTTATAATGAACAGAATTTATAGTCAAATGGGCCAGCCTGAAATATAGATTAACCATTAACAATAGCTCTGGTTGAGCCCATTCTGATTCATGGTGACCTATGTGTGCCAGAGTGGAACTACTCCATAGAGTTTCCATGGCTGATTTTTCAGTAGATCATCAGGACTTTTTCTAAGGTGCCTAGGTGGACTTGAATCTCCAACCTTTCCTTACTAGTCAAGTGTGTTAAACACTTGTACCACACAGCGACTCCAAAACCTAGATTATATTGTATTTAACAATTGCTTTTTTTTCTCTCTCCAAAATAGGAGCTTTATAACTAAATAATTACTCTTTCCTGCCCTGAAATTGTTACTAGTATTCAGTCTTTAAACCCACACAATATAAAACCAATATTGACATACTTTTCTCTAGTTCAAAATAGCCATTAAGAAAATAGAACACTAACTCTTTTCAGATGCCAACATTTTTATACATACCGTTTTGGAATGAGATTTTAGTAATGGGTGCTGTGCTTCCAGATTTTTAATTCCCAAAGAGTTTAATATCTAAATTTAATGCCTTCTCAAAAGGTTCTGTCCAATCAACAGTTTATTTCAGTGAAGAGTTATTTCCTATTCTAGTATAAAATTCAGAAGTGTCCAGTAATTAATCCTGGCAATCTTATATGAGTTTGAGAATATACAGGTGAATCTATACACTTCATAGATATATTTTACTAGAAGACACAACTCCATTTATTGTTATAAATATCACTAATAAGTATTTAGTGAAAATTCCAGGACAGAATCTCTGTGACATCATAGACCTTGAAACAAAGCTTAAATTCTTATATTTTAACACAGTATTTTAATATTTTCTAGGATTGCACTATACTTGTAAAGGCTCTAGGGAACAAAATTTCCTTTCTCCACTGACTGCTCTTTGGGCTCAATAATTAACATATTATTCTGATCCTTACCAGACACTTCTCAGTGTCTAAAATATCACTCTGTACAATGAGGCATTGTACACAGGCAACATTACCTACCCATTTTCCCTTCTATTTTAGTGTAGGAACTATCATCTTCTTAACTATGTGACTATTCTCTGATATACTTAAGGACAAAAAAATCTCATAAAAGACCCATACATAGTTCTTTTTCTTAAAACATACTCATTTGACTAGTTAACACATTAATTCTATGTTTTCAGTTATGAGTCCATCAAAAGTTGACATCAGGAGAGTGGGATGTAGCTTATTTATATGATTATTAGTCAAAGGTAAATTGGTTAGGATTAAGGAGATATAAAAAATGTGCTAACTTTCATTATAATAGGAACCCCTGCATGGTGCATATGATTAACACATTTGGCTGTTCACTGAAAGGCTCGTAGTTTGAGTTCACCTCAGACTCAGAGAAGCCTCAGAAGAAAGGTCTGGTGATCTACTAAGAAATTAACCTTTGAAAACCCTATGGAACACAGTTCTATTCTGACACACACAGGATTGCCATGAGTTGGAATGGAAAGCAACTGCTTTTTCTTTTTTTAATCCTTACTGTGATTTGGGTGAAAGTTTACAGAGCACACTCATTCTCCATATAGCAGTTCATACACATTTTGTTTCAAGACACTGACTGCAATTCCCCAAAATGTAATAGCTCTTCTCCCACTTCTTCCCTGTAGTTAAGCAATTTTTTTTTTTTTTTTTTTTTAAGTATAACAACACTATAGTAATTACGGGAAACATAACTCTAGTATTTTTCCACAAATAGCCCTGTCTTATTATTTTAATATTGTATTAATTTATTTCATGGAGATTATTGTTAAGAATAGGAATCCTGTTGGCAGAAGGGTTAAGCCCTCAGCTGCAAATGGAAAAGTAGACAGTTCAAACCCACCAGTTGTTTTAAGGGAGAAAAGACCTGACACCCTGTGCCTGTAAAGATTACAGCCTGGGAAAACTTATGGGGCAGCTCCACTCTGTCCTATAGGATGGCTATGAGTAGAATTGACTTGACAGCACACAAAAACAGCAACAACCACAACAACAAATTGTTTATAATACAATTACAATACACTGCATAAGTAATATGAAGGTCAAAAAGGGCAGTTTGTAGAGCGCCTTTCCAGGCTGAAGAACAATATTAGATTTCTCTTTAAGGACAAGTTTCCAAAATATTCAAAAATTGTACAAAATGAAGTAAAAATTTAGAATATCAAAAGTGATAGAATGCTACTCTTAGTGGGTTAAAAGTATACACTGTTACAATTTGTAATTGTTTACAAATTTGTTAAAATGGTATAGAATTGCTCATAAATTTATTGACTTATTCAATGAACACACATATTTTTGCTCACCAACTCTGTGCCAGGTGCTTTTCTAGGCACTGGGAATAAAATAATAAAAAAGCAGATATGGGTTATTTTCTCATTATGTTTACATTCCAGTCAAATTAAAAGTCAACAAGAAAATTTCATGTATAAGATAACTGTCAGGAAAGTGCTATAAAGAAAATGAAAACAATGTAATGTGAAAGAATAACCTACTTTTGATGAGGTAGTCAAAGGAAGACCTCCACGAAAATGTGGTATTTAGCTGGGATTTGAATGACAAGAAGTCAGCAATGTGAAGTTTAAGCAGAATATTCCAGTTGAAGAAAATGTCCTAAGTCAGTAACAAACTTGAT